TTACTTGTCTGCAAGCTTTAAAGGATCAGGCCTAAGCTTTAAAGGGTTTACTTATTTTTTATTTAAGGTGTATTCAACTTTTTAACATCTGAAAGTGATCAAAAAGGTATAGACTATTCCCCAGGGTGTTGTTTATAAGTGGAATAGGAGATCCAGTATCGTATGCTTGAAGATAATAAAAAATCAAAAAAGACCCCAATAGCCCCCAAGACCTAACCTCTCGTTGGTGTAAATCATCAGAATTTGCTTACTCAGTAAAGTAGTTATATTTACAGTACTTTCTTCCCCTATGTGTCACATTGCAGGGGGGGGATGATTGATAATGTATATAACACAATGTTGTTGTTGTTGTTGTTGTTGTTATGAGCCACCAACGAGTTTCCGACTCATAGCAACCCTATGCACAACAGCTCTAAACCCTGCTCTATCCTGAGCCAACCGCACTGCCTCTGACACACCCATCCCGATTACCCTAGTCACTGAATCAATCCATCTCATAGAGGGTCTTCCCCTCCTGCGCTGTCCCTCCACCCTCCCAAGCATGATGTCCCTCTCCAAGGACCTGTCCCTCCTGGCAACATGTCCAAAGTATGTCAGACGAAGCCCCAGAATCCTTGCCTCCAAGGAGTAGCTTGGTTTAATCCTCTCCAAGATGAATCTGTTTGTTTTCCTGGCAGTCCATGGTATATTCAGTACCCTTCTCTAGCACCACAGCTCAAAAGCATCTGTTGGTATCCCTTAATATACAAAAATCTTCTAGCAATTAATAAGGAAAACAATTTGGTATACAAGCAAGCAAAAAATGTTGTTGTTGTTGTTACGTGCCATTGAGTCACCTGTAACTCATAACAACCCTATGTATAATAGTCCTAAACCCTTCTCTATCCTGCACCAATCTCACTGTCTCTGACACACTTACCCATTTTACTTCAGTCACTGGATCAACACATCTCATCAAGGGTCTTCCTCTCCTGTGCTGTCCCTCCATTTTCCCAAGCATGATATCCCTCTCCAAGGACCCGTCCCTCCTTGCAACATGCCCAAAGTATGTCAGATGACATTTCAAAATCCTTGTCTTCAAGGAGTAGTCTGCTTTCACCCTTTCCAGGACAAACCTGTTTGTTTTCTTAGCAGTCCATAGTATATTCAATACTCTTCTCCATTACCACAGCTCAAAGGCATCAATTCTCCTTCTATCCTCCCTAGACATTATCCAGCTCTCTGATGCATAGCAAGTGATTGCAAAGACCATGGCCTGTATCAGGTGCACCTTTGTCTCCAGACTGATATCATTGCTTTTCAGCAAAGAATAGACAATTCAAATAGGAAGAAATACTAATAGAGAGGAAACCTGTAAAGGTGTGCCATTTCAATGCTTGGAAAAATGAAAATCAAGGGAATCATGAAATAATATTTTTTTTTTATCTAGCAAATTAAGAAAAATCTGAAAGAGCAATAGTGATCAGTGCTGGCAAGGACTTGAAAATGCTCATATAAGGCTCATGGTGGGATGAGCTACCATTTAGTTTGGGAAAATATTTGGCAGTATCTTTTACTTTCAGCATGTTATCAAGAGGTGACAATCTTCAGAGAAGGGCATATGTTTGGAATAGCAGAGAGTCAGTCATAAAGGGGAAGGCTCTGAACAAGGTGGACTGATAACAGTGGCTGCAACGATGGCCGTCAGCACACACCATACACCAGGACGGGAGCAGGCAAGGTTCCGTTCTGTTACACCTGAGGTCACTGTGAACCAGCACCGACTCAAATGACACCTAACAAAACAACAACATCTACCAACCCTAAAATGTGATGAAGGCATAGTCTTTGACCTAACAATCCTGCTTGTAGGAATCTATCCAGTTGACAAGTAAACAACAAGAAAAGACTCTATCCAATTAGAAATAAGAAGCATACTGCAGCGCATTTTAAAAAAGACCACAAACAACTCCTGAATGTCCATTATTGTTGTTGTTGTTGTTGTTGTGTACTATCAAACTGATACTGACCCAGAGCTGACCCTCCACTAGGTTTTTAAAAGCAGTTAATTGCACAGAACGAGATTGTCCATTTTTCTCTGGTAGAGCAGCTGGTGGATTCAAACCATGTGCTTTTGAGATTGCAGTGCAACTTCTTACCACTAGGCCACCAAAGCATGTAATAAAGCATAGTCCACCCATGTCATGTAGTGGGCAGTGCTGGTAGGTAGAGCTGTGTGAGTTGGTCTATAAAAATATATATGAATCACTGTTTATAAAAAGACAAGTTTCAGGATTAGCTGAATATGGCCCCCTTTTTTTAATGTAAAGAAAAGGAAGAAAAATAAAAGGAAAAAACCTGTAAGAACGAACAAAAGAGGAAGAAAGAAGAGAGAAGAATGTTAAACACCTTGGAGCTTGGAGGAGTACATGCTGGTGTCAGCGTTGCTTTGGGGATGGAAGGGTAAGAAGAGTAGAGCATCATTTATTCTTCTCACAGTACCATATTGTTTGATTCACTATAGTGCTTTCCAAAAACCAGGTATTTTATCTTCTGTAATTAAAAAAAAAATTCCACCAAAAAGTGTAAAGGGAAAAGGATGTATTATTTTGGGTAAAAAGGTTGTTGCCTCCTAGAAGCAACATAAAACAAATGCCCACTAAAATTTTTAATAACTGACTTTGAGTCACTTGCTTCCTTTATCTGAACCTCATTTGCAAAATGAAGATATTAAATATGATGATCTTTCTGATTCCTCAGCTGTACAATCAACAGTCTTAGTACCAGCAGTCAGGAAATCAAAACACAAATTGCACTGGCAAAGTCTGCGGTCAGAGACCTCTCCAGAGTACTGAGAAGCAATGATTTCAGGCTAGAAGCTAAGATGAGCCTGATTCAGGCCATGGTCTTTACAATTACTTGTTATGCATCAGAGAGCTGGACAATGACTAAGGATGACAGAAGAAGAATCGGTGCCTTTGAGTTGTGGTGCCGGAGATACCATGGACCTCCAAAAAACCAAACAGATCTCTCTTTGAGAGGGTAAAACCAAGTTTCTCCTTGGATGCTAGGATTTTGAAGCTCCTTCTCACATACTTTGGGCACGTGGCCAGGAGAGACTGGACTATGGAGAAGGACATCGTGCTTGGAAAGGTAAAGGGACAGTGCAGGAGAGGAAGACCCCAGATGAGATGGATTGATACAGTAAGTGGGGCAAAGGAGTTAGGTGTGTCAGAATCAGTGACACAGGCTCAGAACAGGGCAGGCTTCAGAGCTGCGTAGCTGTACATATGGTCACTATGAGTCACAGGAGACTCAATAATATGTAACAATAACAACAATAAAAAATCATTTGTGTGAAAAAATGTTATGTTGGGGCAGTAGATATCAATAGTGGGTGTGTGTGTTGGGGACTGAGAATGGAGACACAGTGGTGTGAAGAGTCTCTGCTGGATAAGTTGAATTTCTAAGAAGCTGACACACAACACATATGAGAGTCTGAACTTGGCCCTCAAATAATTAAATCAAGGTACAGTGAGAGTCCACGCAACAGTATTTAGCATTTTCTTTTTCTTCCCCTTAGTAAGTATGAAGAACAGATCATCTGAGACTCTGGGCTGTACGAGGAGGAATGTGGCATCAGGATTGGTGAAAGAATCATCAACAACCTACGTTATACGGATGACACAACACTGCTTGCTGAAACTGAGGAGGACCTGAAGCGCTTGCTGCAGAAGGTCAAGGACTACAGCCTCCTTTATGGACTGAAGCTCAACATCAAGAAAACAAAGATTCTCACCACTGGGCCAATTGGCAGCATCAGTATGGATGGTGAAGAGATTGAGATAGTTAACAGTTTTAGTTTGCTTGGTTCCACAGTCAACACTGTTGGTAACAGGAGCCAGGAAATCAGGAGATGAATTGCATTGGGAAAGTCACTTGTGAGGGACCTCTCAAGAGTACTGACTGAATAACAATGACATCAGGCTGGAGACTAAGGTGCACCTGATCCAGGCTATAGTCTTTGCAATTATGTGCTATGCATCAGAGAGCTGGACGCACTGTGTTGTTATTATATAGGGGTGATAGAGAACTGATGCCTTTGAGCTGTGGTTCTGGAGATGAGTGTTGAATATACCATGGACTGCTAGGCGAACAAACAGGTTTGTCCTGGAGAAGGTGAAGCTGGAATGCTCCTTGGAGTCAAGGATTCTGAAGCTTTATCTGACATACTTGGGGCATGTTGCAAGGAGGGACTGGTCCTTGGAGAGGGACATCATTTTTGGGATAGTGGAGGTACGGTGCAGGAGAGGAAGACCCTCAATGAGATGGATCGATTCTGTGAATGGAGTGGTGGGAATGAGTGTGTCTGAGACAGCGAGGATGGCACAGGATAGAACGGCATTTAGGGCTCTTGTACATAGGGTCACTATGAGTGGCAAGCGACTCGATGGCACATAACGACAACAACAACAACAAGTAAGTTATGAATTAAAATCAGGAGAAGAGGTGTGAGAGGCAGAGCACTGGGCTGATCCCTGTTGTGTGCTATAAAGTCAGAATCAACTCATAGCTGACCCTCCAGCAAGTTTTCAGACGTAGTAAATTGCACAGAAGGAGATTGCCTATCTTTCTCCCCCAGAGCGGCTGGTGAATTCAAACTGCATGTCTTTGGGTGGACATTGCAACTTCTTACCACCAGGGCACCAGCACTCAGGCTGACGCCTAAGACTCTAAATCTGCTCTCAGGAACAGTTTCATTTTCTCAGAGAACTAAAAAAAAAATCTACCGATAGCTACAAAGGAAAGAGCAAAATTGCATCCAGATCATCCTCTTGGCTGCTACAGCAGTTTCCAGGGACATTCCAGGCCAGGCGTTTGGGAAGCAGACCAAGCACAGGGAGGAGTCTTAGCACCCTGCAGACCATTGCTGCCTCCAGTCATATCTTAGTTCCAAGGAGCTTCTCCTCCTTGCTCACACCCCTCCCCATTCTCTGTCCAAGCACCGTGGAGACACTCACCCAGGACCAAGAGGCGAACACGTGATTTGGCGATGCCCTCCATGTCATTTGTCAGGATGACAGAGCATTCATAGGTGCCATTGTCCTCCATGGTCAGCTGATCGATGATGATGGAGGCGTCCGATTGATCAGCAGAGCCCGAGACGTTGACACGGTTCTCATAACGGTCACCATAGCTGTATTGCTTGGTTTCAAACACCCGGGAGATCACCTTTTCCTAGAAAGATGAAGAGTTGCTCGTGGTTGAATTCAAGTCCTGGCATGGTGCTTCCAGCATGTCACCTACTGTTCCCAGAGCCTAGAAATAGCCCTCAAAACAAATCAACAGCTCTAACATGTGATAGTCATCTTTCAGATTCCTTGAACATTTTTAATATTTTTTTAAATGAAATCTTGAAAACTAGGGCAGGTAGGTATTTCACATGACAGGCACACATGTGGGTAGATGAGGCTGTCTCTGATCACAAAATAAAATGCTTTATTCAAATATTTTTAAAATAACAAGACTAATATTTGTGCACTGATACATGGTAGAAGCTCTAAATATTTTAAAAGAGAAAATGCAAAGTGTGGAACCATGTGTAGATAGCATGTGCAAGCATGTATATGCAAACATTTTCATGTGTGTGTGTGGGTGTGGCTAGAAAGACGAGTAGAAAGGCCGGATTCTGCAAAGGTGTGTTTTCTGGTTTGGAGTTGACACTAGGGTGTGGCTCTTGCTCGCATTAGGGTGTGAGCTGATGAGATTTGGCCTTGCCTTTAAAAAGGCTTTTTGAATTTTGTGGATCTCCCAAATAAAACAGGCTTGGAAGCAGGAGTGGCATCCACTTCCAAAAAAAGCTTGCCTCTGGAAACTCTATGAACTTGGAGAAAGATGAAAGTTTTGCGTTCAAGACTTTCGTTCATAGGGTTGCTATGGGTCATCTATGACTCTATGGCACTTAACAACAACACCAACACCACCACACACAAACACACACACTTATTTGCATATGCATGCTGCATTTGTGGAAGTCTACCTCCACACATTGGCAAGAGTGGTTGACTTTGTGAGAGGAACAGAGGGCTGGAGTGTGAGGGGGAAGTATTTTCACTCTGCACAACTTTATGTGGTTGAATCTGTTACCTTATTCAGGCATTTCTTAAACACACCTATAAGGAAAAAGGACCTCTTGTACATTGCTGTGGAGCCCAAAATGTTCACTTATAAAAGGCAATTTGGTAATCTCAATTTGGTAATCTTTGGTAATCTCTGTGCCCACCTATGGAGGGCAACTTAGCAATATCAACTTGGTAAAACAATTTACCCAGTGCAGGAATGTATCCTAGAAAGCACACATACAAATGGCATACATATGGAGTTATTTGTGGCAATCTTATAAAGGAGAAGGTTGGAAACAAGTAGGTGTCCCTCATTAAGGACAAGTTAAAGAGTGCTATTATATCCACAAAATGGAATTCTATGAGCTCTAAAAGGATTGAAGAAATGTTATGCTGTTTTCTGATTTCGAAAGATTTCCAGAAATTATTGTCAAGGAAAAAAATGCCAGGGACAAAGTCTACCTAGAATATACTAACTTTCGTATAAGAAGAGAGCAAAATAGGACTGTCCACATACAAATGTATTCATAGTTTCTTGAATTTGCATAAAACATCACTGTTAAGTTTCACAAGCAACTCCTAAAATCAGACTTTAGCCATTCACTCAACACATCTCACTTATTGCTTTTGAGCAGGAATTGACAGCCAAAACTAATGTACAAAATGAGTAATTATTATAACAGAGATACCAGCCAATGAGGATGTAACCTGTCCCAAAACAATCAAACCAAACCCTCTGACTCATGGTGATTCTGTGTGTGCCAAGGAGATCCGTGCTCCACAGGCTCTCAGTGACTGGATTTTGAAAGACGTTGATCACCAGGTCTTTGTTCTGAGGCACTCCAGGATGGAGTAGAACTATCAACCTTTTTAGAGTTAAGCACATAATCATTTGTGGCCCCCTAAATAATTAGATTCCATTAAACAACTTAAAGAAAATCCCCATAGCCATCCAATCACCACCATCTCAAAGCTGACCATCCATCAGCGTTACAGGTTTCTGGCACTCTGAGTCAACGGAGGAGTTTGCCCATCTTTCTTCGTTGGAGTTGATGGTGGATTCGAACCATCAGAGAGCCATGGTCTTTGAATTATCAGTGCAATTCTTTAGGGACTATGCCACCAGTGCTCTCTATTAGCTAATACCAGTGAAAATCTAGATTCTTGGATTTGCAGCAGCAATTAGTGAAAATCAACTGGTGGGTGAGCTGGTGGGTGAGTGAGTACCATCATCCTAGCCTATAAAGTAAAATCTTCTATCAGGAAGATGACTATATTAATCAAATGAAATGACTTTAAATTATGTAGATGATACAATTGAAGATAAAACCTAGGCTAGTCTCCCTGGCCTCATTGACTCAACAGCACATAACAAGTCTGCCTGGAAAGAGCTGTGTACAGGCAGGGTACCCCGGCACAGATGATTAGTGTAAAGAGAGTCACTGTCTTTGAGCAACATCATGATAGATGGAGCCAAGATTAAAGTTGCCAATGATCTCATATTACTTGGCTCTAATGAAAAACCATGATAGTAACCTCTAGGAAATCAAAAGATATGTTGCCTTCTGGGAAAATCCACTGTCAAGGCTCTCTCCAAAGAGCTAAAGAACAATGATATCAGTTTAAAGACTAAGGTGCATCTGATCCAATGCATGGTATTTTCAATTGTTTCCTATGCACTTTTAAGCTGGACAATGAATTAGGATGACAAAAGAAGAATCGATGCCTTTGCATCACAGTATTGGGGAAGGGTACTGAATATCCCATGAACTGCCAAAAGAATAAATCCTTCTTAGAGGCAGTGAAGCCAAGGTAAGTGCCTCCTTAGAAGGAAAGATCATGAAATATATCTTGGCATCTGTCAGTATGCGTCAGTCCTTGGAAAAATACATCATGTTGGGAAAGGTGGAGAGTCAGAGAAAGACAGGATGACTCTTTACAACATGGATTTACACAGTGACTGTCACAATGGGCTCAAGCTTGCCTGACTTCATGAGGATGGCACAGAGCAGGGCAAGATTCAGATCTGTTGTCCATAGGGTCACTATGAGTCACAGAGGACTTGACAGCATATAATAACAACAATTAAAGACATATGAAACTGGCTAACAGAAAGATATAATAGGGCAGGTGACTTTCTGCCACCCCTTAAAATAAAGGTGACATGACCCTGCCTTCTCTGCAGAGGCCTGAGGCACAGGTGATGCAGGTGATGCTCTGAGTGCCACTTGAAATAAGGTGCAACGAAGCAGTTTCTATTAACTCAGCTCAGGCAAAAGGTCTTCCTCAAGCAAGACAGACATCCATAGGCATGGGGAGGGGGCACTGGTTCCTGGGGCTCAAAGTTTAGAGCAAGGTGCCACAAATACAAAAGGTGCTTGACTGAGACAGCAAGACAAGACCAGATGAGGCCTTGCCACTGACCTGACGCAAACTGACTCAAAAATTCTCCAATTTAGTGAGAGGTAGTTGAAGGACCTAGGTGTGTCTGACTCAGACCATAGTCTTTTACTTCATTTGTTATGTTGCTGAGAGCTGTACAATGAAAAAAGATGATAGAAGAAAAATATACATCTTTGACCTGTGATATTGGAAGAGTAATGAATATCCCATGAACTGCCAAAAGAACAAACAGATTTGTTTTAGAGAAATTGTAATCAGAGAGCTCCTTGCTTGCAAGGAGGATGCAACTTTGTCTCGCATATTTTGGGCATGTTGCTAGGAGAGTCTATTCTTTGGAAAAGGATAACATGTTTGGATATGTGGGAGGATGTGAAAGAGAGGAAGACCCTCAACCATAGTGACTGCAGCAATGGTCTCTAGAGTGTCAGGAAGTGTGAGGATGGCGCAGGAGATGGAAGGGATCAGATCTGTTGTTCACCTGGTTGCTATGAGTTGTACTTGACTTGACAGCACTTAACAACAACAACAATAACTGACACATGATTTGCTCTTAACTGCTATTTATCTAGAAATTGAGATTCGGGTCATGATTTAAATATTGTCTCTGGGTGCTCATATTGTGTAGGGGGTGGGGAGCGTGCAGGTCCGTGATCATCAGGCATTCATCCTGTGGTGCTTGCTTACATGTGTAGATGCAATTATAGATACACATCTCCTCCTCTAGGTCCAACATGTATTGGAGCTCCCACTCCCCATCTCTGCTGGCATAGTTCTTCCCTCTCTCTGTTCCCCCGCTCCCTTCCCATTCCTGTGGGCATAGTTAGCATGGAGTTGCAAAGCTAACTCAAAGGCACAGCTTCTCTGGTGGTTCGACTCTACCAGCAGCTCTGGGAGAAAGGCAGAGAATCTCCTGCCAAGTGATTGACCTTCTGGATGGAGGGTCGGCTATGAGTTGGCTCTCACTCCATGGCCATGAGAAGTAGAGAGGATTTCTTGAATGCCTTTCTTTGTAGGGTTCCTCTAAGAGGTAAAGATGCTGTTGTTAGTTACCATCAAGTGGATTCTGACTCTGTGATCCTGGGGATTGAGAGTAGAATTTCTCCATCACCACACCTATTCATTCCAGGTACCCCTGGGTGAGTTCAACCCTTCTGACTGGTGGTTAAGTCCTTAACAGTTTGTACTACTAGGACCTCCTCTAAGAGGTAGTAGAACTTGCTGCCCCTGAATTGTTTCTAACTCATAGTGACCCTGTAAGAGTATAATTTCCCAACAAGTTTTCTTTCTAAGCCTGTTAATCCTCATAGGGGCAGATGACCTCATCTTGATCTTATGGAGAAACTGGTGGGTTCAAACCACCATCCTTTTGGTCAGCAGATGAATTATTTAACCACTCTGCTACCAAGGCTCCTTTCAGTATAAAATCCAAACCACGCCAACTGCTGTTAAGTCAGTTCTGATTTGTAGTGACCCTTCACCAAATCTCTGAGACATTAGTCAAGTAAGTCCCCAAGCATCTCCAGACTCTTAAGGATCCTTACCGAATAATCCATTCTTAGCTTATCCCATTGGATAACTCCATGCCGTTGAGAGGTGGCAGTCTGGTAGGTGCATGGCAGGGTGACACTCTTTCCCCGGGCAGCCCGAACCGCCTCCTGAGGTGTTTGCACAGAGATGGCATTGATAGTCACCCAAACTAGAGAAAAGAAGGAAATAGGGAAAATAAATGATAAGGTTGAATCCACTCATTGCCTAAGGAACCACTATGAAAATGTCTAGAGAGAAGCACTTGCTTCTATATCCAGAACCATTTATCACTCACTACAATAGCAATCTGGGCCATGTCACTCTAGGTGTTCTCTTCCAAGACAGAGGAAGACAAGCCCATGTACCTTGATGCCACCCAGATATACATCTCCTTCCCTCAGTATCACAAAGAAACTATAGGAATCTGTAAAAGAGAAGGGACTCAGTGCCTTTTCTGAAACTCTAACTCAGGACCTTCAGATTAGGAGACTGATGCGCTGCCTTCTGTGCTAAGAAAGCCCACGGACTACCAGAAGAACAAATAGATATGTCTTGGAGAAGGTGCAGCCAGAGTGTTTCTTGCAGCACAAGTGCTTGGTGTTCCTTGGAGGCAAAGATAATGAGGTTTTGTCTCACATACTTTGGGAATGTTGCTAGGAGAAGTTATTTCTTGAGGAGGGACAGTATGCTTGGGAAGGTGGAGGGATGACAAAGGAGAGGAAGACCTTCAACCTGGTGGCTTAAGACAGTGACTTCGGCAATGGACTCTATCATGTCAGAGATGACAGTGACACAGGATAGGGCAGGGTTCGGGTCTGCTGTTCAGAGGGTCTCTGTGAGTCATGCTCGACTCGATGGCACCTAACAACATAACAAAAACAAGATAGGGAGCTATGGTGACCTGGTGATAAGAAGCTGTTCTGCAATCCCAAAGGCTCATGGTTCAAATCCATCAGCTGCTTCGTGGAGAAGGATGGGCAATCTCCTCCTGTGTGATTTACGGTGTGATTTACATGGGTTAGTTCCAACTCAATGGTACCCAACATCATGGTGGTGTAGGCTGTCGGGAGCTGTGCTGCTTACTCTAAGGCAGCATCTCTCTGGATGTTGGATTCCATCACTGGCTCCAAGGAGAAGAATGGACAATCTCCTTCCCTGCGATTTACAGCCTTAGAAACCCAATGAAGGATCAGCTGTGGCAAGGTTCTAACTCCACTGAAATAAGAGTTTTGAATTTAGTGATAGAGTGGGTATGTTATTAGCAGAGGCCACTCCCTGGAGAAAGAAATCATGCTTTGGAAATTAGAGAGGGAGCCAGAAAGAGGAAAATTGTCAATGAGAAGGGTTGACAGTGGCTACAGCAAAGGGCTCTAGCACGTCAGAGATCGCTTGGGTGGGGAAAGACGGCGCAATTTTGTGCTGTTGGAAAAGGGTTCTCAGCGAGTGGAAATCTGTGCAATAGCACCTCATAACAACGATAACATGGTAATTTAGAGCTTGATTTTGAGCCTCAGCCCCACCTCTTATCAATTGTGTAAACTCTTAACCTTAAGAAACCTTAAATCTCAGGTTTCTCATCTGTAAAAATGTTATGTTGTTGCTATGGACTGTCAAATTGGAACTGACTCGTAGCTGACCCTCCAAAAATTTTCCAAGGCAGTAAATCACACTGGAGGAGATTGCCTGTCTTTCTCTTATGGTGCAGCTGGTAGATTCAAGTCACGTGCCTTTGGATTGGCAGTGCAATTCCTTAGCTCTAAACCACCAGCCTTGCCTATATGTAAAATAGGAACATTAATACTTTCTAGAGTATTTGGGGAAATGATTTAATTCTAAGAGAAGGATATCTGGTGGCCCGTTGTGTGTATTGTCAAGTCGGAACCCACCCATGCCTAATCCCCCAGTGGATTTTCAGAGGCAGTGAATCATTCAGGAGAAGAGTGTCCATCTTTCCCCCACAGAGCAGCTGGTGGATTCAAACCACAAGCTTTGGGATTATAGCACAACTTCTTACCACTAGGCCACCAAAGCATTGCCAACTCAGAAATAGACAGTTTCTTTCTCAGCTGCTCTGAAAAAGAAAGTTAGGCAATCTCTTCCCCTGTGATCTACAATCTCTAAAAACCTGCTGGAGGACCAGCTGTAAGTTATAATACATAACTCCGTGATGCATGAAAACAACATCAATATGTGTAAAAAGCTTTGATTTGTGTCTGGGATATTGAAAGCTCTTAGTAAATATAATCTATCATCTTAATTTTGTTGATGATGATTTATTACTTATCTAACAAATATTTATTTGTTAAACTTTGTACGAGAAATTCTGTTAATAAAATTAGATTCAGGTGAAGGGATAAAGGATATTCCCAGGGTGGATTATTTTATATAAGGTTATCAGGAAAAGGCTCTCTGTGAAGAGAACATAGGTGCTGAGACCTGGAAAAGGTAAGAAAAAAGTGGTGCCACACCATATCTGTCATCATACAGACTTCCTAAAATGTGACATTGTGGTGTTAAAGGTTTCTTGTTCAAATAGCCACTGACTCTGAGTTTGTCCTGTGAATTGATAGGACTATGCAAATACGGTGTGTCAGTGTATCCACGAGGGGAATGGTTAGTCTTAACCACTAAATAGAGCAGATTCAGCGGCAGATTTTGAGAATCTCACCACCAGCATAGATGTAGAGAATGCAGTGCACCCTTCAGGGCCAGAGTGTCTTGGCACTAGCTAAAGCTACAGGAGGAGAGATGCAGCCACAGTAGAGAACCAGACACCTGATATGATTCAGAGCTGATCTTGGGAGTCCTACCCCACAGAATCAGAGCCAAGGCCCTTTGCCCAAGTTTGTTGAAAGACTAGGGGGAGAACCATAATAGGCAGGACTAAGAGCTTTATATCACCGGCCAAAGTCGTGAGGCTGAGGGTCTGTGAGTACATGTTAGAAGTTGTCCTGACTGAGAAATTGTATCCAGTTAACTGCCCTAATAAACTCTGTAGTTGTATGATTCCGTGTTCTCTGTGAGCTATTGCAATGGATTTCGGATCTGGGAGAGCAGTGAGCTTGGTGCTAGAATGAGTAGAAAGAAGTGCAGGAGCGTAAAGGTGCAGGTCTGACGTCATGGGAATTGGTTTTGCGTTGCGGATGATGATGATGGGGGCAGTTCCCCCTTGTGGAGTTGGTAGAGGACAGACGTGGCCATCCCCATGCAGCCCTTGCCCCTTTTCCAGACAGTGATGATCATCAGGTTATGGAGTCTATGATCCCTCCACTTGAGTCTGGGTGGCCCTGTGATAACAGTGTAAGTTGCACTGTATGACCTCTGAGGCAACCTATATCAACTCATAGCTTCTTCCTGGTCTTCCCGAGAGGTGGACCTTAGGAACATGAGCATATCCTGAGAGGAAGGTAAGCAGCCACAAGGAAAGACCATGTGTAGGGATTCAGGATACAGCCCAGCTGAGGTCCCTCTGACTGTCAACATCAACTACCAGGCATATGGGTAAGTCCAGAGTCCTGGGGAGCAGAGAGGAGCTATCTTTACAGACCACTGCCCAAATTGAAAATTCAGAAAAAACATATTCATCGTTTTCAACCACTAAGTTTACAGGTAGCTATTATGCAGAAATTGATAAGTAGAACAGAAACCATGTGATATGTGTAGGGAGAATGTTCTAGCAAGAGCATGGCTGGTCTGTGGGGAACAGTAAGAGAGACATAATGAGAGGGAAGTGAGTGAGGAGGAGGCAGGAAAACATAGGGGCTCAAATAACATCAAATCTTAGAGGCTTTGTCTGAGGTTTTGTGTTTTACGAGAAGGGAGTAAGGACAGGAGAAATTGAAATAAATTTAAGTATGGGTTACACATATTTGAAGGAGTTGTGTTGGCTTAATCTTTTAGCAAGTTGTGCTAACCTGAAGATAGCTTGTCTCCCTGTTCGAATCCACCAATGGTTCCATGGGAGAAAGATGGGCAGTCTCCTCCCATTTCTATTTATAGCCTCAGAAACCCAAAGGAGTCAGAATCGACTGTGCAGTATGAGTTTGAGTCTGAATACAGATTTCTATACATTTCTTTAACTCATTGTTGTCGATTCAGTGAAGTTTTACATAGCAGCTTGGTTTTCCTGTCAAGAGTTCACACATATCAGCTGACAGTGTACAGGAGCAAATTGGGTTTCTATTCAACAACTGATACTCATCTTGTTTTGTAGTGTTGATTGTGGTCTTCACAATGTAAGTCCCTCCCTGTGTTTCTTGTTTTTGTTCCTCTTCCTTTCCCAACCTTCCTGTCTGCTAAACTTTGTCCCAAGGCAAATGCTGCCCCTTTGATCTCTTACGGTTCTAAGGGCTGTAATCCTCCCCAGGGTAGTTGTTCCTCTGATAGACCTAGTTATTGATAGACTGAAAACTAAGCCAGGAGAGCGAGCTCAGTTTCGGGCCTGAGGGTGACTAAACTCTGTAGTCTCAGGGCTTCCATTAGACAGACACATTTAAAAGAAGATAATTCTGGATACAATGAGGCTATTTTAATAGTCCAGAGGTCTTAGCTGAATGTCTAACAAGACTTTCAAAGGCAGTAAATCTGCCGTCATGGACCTCTCCAGAGTGCTGAAGAGCAAAGATGTCAGTTTAGATACAAAGGTGCACCTAATCCAGGCCGTGGTTTTCTCAATTACTTATTATCCTTCAGAGAGCTGGACAATGACTAAGGATGACAGAAGAATAGATGCCTTTGAGTTGTGGTGCTGGAGTAGAGTCTTGAACATACCATGGACTGCCAATTAAACAAATAGGCCTGTCTTGGAGAGGCTGAAACCAAGTATCTCCTTGGCGGCGAGGATTTTGAAGCTCCTCCTCACTTAGTTTGGGAACATGTCCAGGAGAGACTGATCCTTGGAGAAGGACATCATGCTTGGAAGGATGGACAGACAGGGCAGGAGAAGAAGCCCCCGAATGAGATGGATTGATGCAGTGACTGGGGTGATGGGGGATGGTGTGTCAGAATTAGTGAGACTGGCTCAGGACAGGGAAGGGTTCAGAGCTGCTGTACATAGGGTTGCTATACATTGCAGGTGACTCAATGGCACATAACATACTATGACAGGTTTGGAAGCAGGAGTGGCATCCACTTCCTAAATAACATGCCTCTGGAAACTCTATGAACTTTCATAAATGTCTATAGTTGTACAAGGGCTTTAGGACTTTTGTTCTTAGGGTCACTATAAGTCATGCTCAACTCGAAGGCAATCATCAACAACAACAACAACAAATCACATAGGAGGAGATTACCCATCTTTCTCCCATGAAGCAGCTGGTGGATTAGGACCTTGTGCTTTTAGATTAGTAGCACAACCTCTTACCATTAAACTCTCAGAGCTCCCTGGACTCAGGTGATGGTAATGAAACTGGTGAGCTGTGATACCAATGGAAATGGATTCAGAAAGTATAGCCAGTGTGATTTAATTGCAGATTAGATTAGGCAAATTAAGAATAAATGAAAGCATTTGGAATTGTCATTTACTGAGATGACCAAGACTGAGGGAGGGAGGAGCAGGCTTCAGGGAGAGATTAGGAGTTCCTGGAGATTCGAAGTTTGAGATGCTTGTTGGATATTCTAGTGGAGGTGTTGAGGGACTGTTGTCTACCTGGAGTTCTATGAAGAGGTGGAAAATTGAGATACATCTTTGGGAGTCACAGTTCCAGAAGATTTTTAAGCTGAGAGAATGGAGAAGACCATCCAAATAATGAATATAACAGGGAAGGTACATATCAGACGTCAATGCTTGGTTGGGGTGGAGAAGACAAGGAGGACACAGCAAAGGAGACAGAGAACAGGCCAGAGAAGGAAAAGAGAACCAAGAGAAAGTTGTTTCCCAGAGCCTAAACCAGAAGCGTGTCTCAGGAAAACAGAAGGGGCCAAAATACTCATGTGCAGCTGACCAGTCCGACCAGTGAGCAGGTCTAAGCAGTGCAACTGGCTGTGGCAATGTGGAGGTGACCATACATGGGCAGATTTGATGGAGTTGGGGGCATGGAGCCTGAATGGAGTGAGCTCAAGAGCAAATGAGATGAGAGGACGTGGATAGATTTTGCTGGAAAGGGGAGGAGTACAAAAGGGGCTGCAGTAGCTAAAGGAAGTTGCAGGGGCAAGAGGAGTATGAGCTTGTGTGTTTTAATACGTACTCGCTTTTCAATTATCTCTGACACTGTGTTTGATGATAGTAAGAATAAGTCGAGAATAAGGACAGAAGCCCCATCTGTGTAGAGGAGTTGGGATGGAGCCAGGAATCTTAGAAGAGATTCTGAGCCAGTCATCCACTGGGGTCATGGCTAAAGAGGTAGGAGTGTGAGCAGGTTTCCAAGGGTTTCTCTGATGAGATTACAACAGATAGAAGGGAAACATCCTGCTGAAGGTCATCTTCCTGTGGCCAAAAGTTTCTTTTAGACTAGAAAATTCTCTTTTAAAAATGCAAATATGTCCAAAGGAAGAGTTAAATGATTGCAGCTGTTCATCCTTTGGTATGAAGTATTAAAAGTGCTTCCTACAGTAAAAATAATCTGTCCTTCCAGAGTAATCACTATGTGGCAAGGATCTTGTGGGCTCCTTGGGCCAGGTTGCACAGCTAGAAACATAGGATACTAGAGGAAAGAGGGACAGAGTTGTCAAAGACCAATATCCCCTCCCTGATATCTGCATGGCTTCTCAGGTGCCACTGGGAACCAGTTCAAATGCTGCCTTCCTGAGCAGCTATACTTGCTTCAGAGGGTGGCTTCTGTAGTGAGCAAAGTTTGTGGAAACAAACAAAACACCCCTCTCATTGTCTTCAGGTCAGAACCGACTCATAACTGATGGGGTTTCCTATGCTATAATCTCAAGGGAGGAGATTTTCCATCTTTATCCCTTGGAGTGGCTGGTGCCAGAAGCTTCTAGAAAGTCATTGCCTTTGGGTTAGCAATGCCACACCTTGCAGACTATGCCACCAGAACTGCCTTATGACAAAATCCTCAACATTGTCAATTACCTCTCTATCACCTTCATCAGTCAGAAAACACATTCATCAAAACAACAATAATAAGCTACTTTCATCAGAGAATGATTAATAGGACCTTTTGATGCCATTGCCCCAGCTGATAGCTGCAAACCCCTTCTGTATCCACAGAATCCGTATGTCATTCCCAGGATTCCTGGTGATGGTCATGGCAACTGCCCTGCTCTTCACCTGACCTCTTCATCCTTGCCTGGTCAGCACATTACCTGGAGCATAGCTCAGCTCCTACCCTCAGGGTGACCACTCTGAAGCTTCTCTGTTCCCTACACATTTCTATTCCCTTCTTGTCTAACACTCCACCAACAGCTGCTCCGTAAGGACTGCTGCCACTTCCTCCGCCCCACGACATACCTTCTGCTCCACAACACATTCTCTCACCATCAATTTGAAGAGAACCAGCCTCCTACGTCATTCCTTTAGACAATATCTAGTTATATGTCCATTGGGGTTTTTAAAACTCAAACTCATTGCCTTCAAGTTGAAACTGACTCATAGCTAATTCTCCACTGGATTTCCAAGACTGCATATCACATGGAAGATTTCCCATCTTTCTCCCACAGAGTCACTAGTGGATTTGAACCTCCAGAGAGGTTTAAACAGACCTTGGTGTAAAAGCACAGTTTCCTATAAACTAGGCCATCATTGAGGGGATGCTAACTCAGCAGTCTAAGAAGGAGAACCAGCCAGTATATTAAGTTAATAGTTCTTAATACTTCTTTCCATCTTATGTTAATTGTCATTGTGTACCATCAAGTTTGAACCTGACCCACAGCTGACCCTCTGGCGGGTTTTCAGAGGCAGTTAATCTCACAGAAAGAGGTTGTCCATCCTTCTCCCACAGAGCAGCTGGTGGATTCAAACCGCATGCCTTTGGGATTGCAGCACAGCTTCTTGCCATGAGACCACCAGTGCCCTTATGTTAATTACAACTTGAAAGTAAATGCACTCACCCCAGGCACCCAATAACTATTTTAGTTCTTTTTCTAATTCATTTTCACATTTCTATTAATGGTGAGTATTTCTATCATTTTATTTTACACATGAAGAAATCTGAGGTTTTGTGGAGTTAAGCAATTTGCCTTGTCTAATAGGATAGCCAACAAATGACAAAGTTGAGATTAAAATACAGTTTGCAAGGCATAGTTCCCTGTTGGAAAGTCTGAGAGAAGAGGCCTAATTGAAGGGCAGGGCTTCTGCCCACAATGGCAGACAGCAAAATACGAACTTTTGCTTGATTGTGGTGGTTGAGGTTGTCTCTGCTGCCAGCAAAATCCATTTCCCATCTTACTGCTTTGTTTACATCTTGCTCTTCATCTCCTGCAACTGAAACTCTTACATGCTTTCTTGAGCCCAGCCACAAGAATTCAATCTGTGTCTGCTATGTAGAACCAGCTCCCTGCTCCATTATAGATGATGGGATACATACCCAGAAATTAATCTTCCTACCTCAATGGAATTTATGGATCTAGACTCAACTTACAGGCAATCCCCTCCTGTGCAATTAATTAATTGCCTCTGAAAACCTACCAGAGGGCCAGCTATGGGCCCATTCTGACTCCATAATACACAACAACAACTCAACTTATACACAGCGAAGTGCTATTGACTGAGTTCTACATCTCCACTCATCTGGGTTTTCAGAAGCCTGTTATTTCAGAAGTGGATGGCCAATCCTGCTTCCTAGTCTGTCTTCATCTGGGAGCCCCAGTAAAACCTGTCCACCATGGGCGACCCCTCTGACATTTGGCATACCAATGGCACAGTTTTCAGTATCATAGCAATCTACATGCTACCTCAGTACAGCAAACTCAGACAGACAAGTGCTATACCAATTAGAAAAATAATAAACCAGCAAGAATATAGGTATCCACATGCCATGCATCTGAGAGCTGGACATGAATAAGGATGACAGAAGAAGAACTGATGCCTCTGAACTGTGGTATTGGAGAAGAGTATTGAATATCCCTTGGACTGCAAAAAGAATAAGCAGATATATTCTGGAGAAGGTGCAGCCAGAGTGCTCCCTGGAGAAAAGGATGATGAAACTTCGTCTCACATGATTTGGGCATGTTACAAGGAAAGGTTCATAATGCTTAGAAAGGTGGAGGGACTGTGAAAAAGAGAAAGACCTTCAGCCTGGTGGATTGACATAGTGACTGCAGCAATCTGCTTGAAAGTGTCAGAGATTGTGAGGACAGCACTGGATAGGACAGGGTTCAGATCAACTGTTCATAGGGTCGCTATCAGTTGTACTCAACTCAACAGCAACTAACAATAACAATAACAACAACAACTCATCTGGAGCAAAAGAGAATGAAGGGAACTAAAGATTTGAACAATAAACTATTCCACAGGACTAATAGGCTACACAAGCTGTAATAGCGTCTTCTAACCTTAGACCAGAAGAGGAGGATGGTGCCTGGTGATTCACCTTTGGACCAGTATAATCTTTGAATAGTGCACTGAACAAAGCTATTTCTGGAGATCAACTATTAGGCAAATAATAGATTAGCCTGAAAAATAAACAATATCACTCACGATCACTGTGCTCACTTAACTATATGAGATCAAATAGTCAAGATTTACCCCAAAGCAAAGATGAGACAGCAAGGAGGAGAAAGGACACTATCAAAGGAAACAGAACAAACACAATGAAAATAACAAGAATGTGGATATATTTTGAAAATGATAACCAAAGTCACAAAAGAATTTGTGTAAAATTGTTGGTTGAGAATCCAATTTGCTGTGTAAACTTTCTGAAATACAATGACACATTTAAAAAAGCCAAAATTAAGCAAAGCAATCAGTTTTTATGATGTAGATGTACCTCAACCAATCAACTGAAGGCCATGAAAGCAACAAGGGAGTTTTCCAAATGGTGTATGCTTCCTCCAGACTAGAAATAGTCATCTTGCCAGAACATCTTCACTGTGCGAACATGAGAAGAAACTTTCTGTCACCTTATCTATGTATTTTGAGACACAAACCTGGACAAATCTCTAGCTTGACCTATCGATTTTGAACTTGTAAACATCTGTGCGAGCCACTTCCTGAAATAAATATCTTCTCTTTTTCTCTTCCCCTCATACACACATATGCCCCGTGTGTCTCACACACACCACACACCACATACACACACACACACATTAGGTACCATCCAGTTGGTTCTGACTCACAGTGACCTTATGTACCACTGAATCAAACATTACCCAATCCTATTCCAATCCTTCTCACTTTCAGCAAGCAAGGCTGTGTCCTCTTACATAGCAGGTTATTGATGAGCCTTCCTTCAATCCTGATGCCACATCCTCCTTCACAGAGCCTAGCTTCTCTAATGACTTGCTCAGTAGACAGATTGAATATGTATGGAGAGAGGATATACACCTTTATAAATTTTAAAGCATGCAGTGTTCCCTTGCTCTGTTCAGATGACAGTTTCTTGCTCTAAGTATGCTGCAGCTGTTGTCTGCTGGAAGGTCAGAACGGACCCATATCTGACCCTCCCATGGGTTTTCAGAGACAGTAAACTACATGGGAGGAGATTGCCTATCCTTTTCCTGTGGAGCAGCTGGTGAATCTGAACCATGTACTTTCAGGATTGCAGGGTAGCTTCTTAACACTAGGTCACCAGAGCTCCTTCGATGTAGGTATCAATTTTGTATAAGCATTATTAAGTTTTCTGGAATTGCCATTCTTCTCAAGGTTAGTCTTAGTTTGTTATGATTTACACAATCAAATACCTTTGCATAGTCGATAAAACAAAAATAGGTATGCTTCTGGTATTCTCTGCTCTCGGCCAAGATCCATCTGACATTAGCAATGCTTTGAGCCAAGGTGGAGCTTTCAGCCAGGATCCAGTGACACCAGCCTTATGCCATGGCCTCTTCTAAATCGAGCTTGAACTTTGACAGTTTTCTGCCAATGTACTATTCTAACATTTTAAAAAATATTTTTTCCATTCATGTGCTTTGTATTTCATATATTCCTTC